TCTAAACATAATATTAAATATTTAATTTAAAATATCCAATGTTTTTTTAAAAATTAATTTACTAATTTAAAAAATAATTTTTTCATTTTCAACAATTTAGACAGCAGTACATGAGTTAACTTGTTTGTATATTTACAACATTATCTGCACAAATAAATTATGCAAAAACATATTTTTCTTACTGTTTAAAAACTCCATTTATTTTAAAGAAAAATAAAATAAATGCATTTGTTTTAATGCAGATAGATTTAAATTATATATTTTTAGTTTAATGTTTGTAAAATTATCTAATAATAAATTATATTTATTACACAGTACTACACATCATAAATATATAAGCAAAATAGTTGACAAGTTTTAAGTAAACATTAAATTAAATATTTGACGATTTATAAATACAGTTTTAATTAGCTTTTTTAATATAAATAAATAATTAGAGTAATATTTTAAAAAACTTACAAATAATTGTACGTGATCCAACCACCTACAATAGCCGCTGCCAAATACCACAGGTATGATGTGTTAAATGGGGTAACAAATAGGCATAACAACTGTATTATTGCCATAACTTGTATTTATTATAAAACAGTTTACATTAAAACTTGTAATTTAAAGGTAAATTGTCTGTTAATTATTTGCTTAAATACTATTATCTGAAGGTAACAAAAATTTTCAAAAATCTGCCTTGGTCACTATGAACATCACTGATGTACTTTCATTGTTTGCACAGAACTATGAATCGGATAAAATTAATACACAAAAAATTACCTTTATTGTTTTTTTACATAAATCTTTATAATGACATGGATATTTAATAATATTAATATTAATAATATAATAAGGATATTTTTAAATAATCATAGACAATTATTATTGTCTAGACTACACCTTAAACACATGTATAAGTTATACAGTATAACAGACTCCGGGCCACATATAAACATTAATTTAAATATTGTTGTCGTATAATTAAATATAAACTTAAATGTACGCCGGCCAATGTTCCCTGTGAACAATGTAGTTCATGTTGTACAAGCTACTTTTTCGTTTATCTAAAATTTTACCTAGTCACTATCAAACTTATGTAACTTTTGTATTACTTAATTATGAATTGCATAAAATATATCCTTTAGTTTTTTTTATAGCATTAGGAATTACTATTTCAATATCATTAGGATTATTCTGGATAATAACTAATGTATAGTACTTTAAACTTTAAATTACTTTAAATAATTAAAATATATTGATATTTGAAGGTAGAATAAATTCTAAAACCAGATTATTTAATCATTTTAAATATTAAGTTGAATATTTGATTTTTATTATTATATAAAGTTTACACAAAAATGATTATAATGATCATCACGGATTTACTACTATTATATGCATTAGACTCTACCTAGCCAAAACAGCCATGTTAGTTGGCTAAAACACTATACCATCTTTTCAAAGCATGTACATCCAAAGTGGAAATTTTATAATAAACTTTTCAACGTGGGTCTAAGTAAATATTGCATCACTTTTGTCTAGCCAGGCATTACATAATGAAAGTGAACTATGATTTGCATAAAATATATTTTCACCTCAATCCGTTTATCTGAACTTAAATTGTGTTGACCACTTTATAAGCAGAATTATGTATAAACGATGTAGTTTCCTTAATTCTAAATTGCTAAAAAATAATATATTTAATAATCACTATAAACATAATGTATTTTTATTATATGAAATATAATGTGAATTAATTAACTTATGCAATATTACATAAAACAAATTTTTATTTATAAAGAATTAGTATGCTAAGATTATTGAGAATATTCCAGTTAATGTAACGTAGTTCATATTTGCAAATGTAATATTAATACTTGTGATATTGTAAATTTATTATTATATTACACTAGCAAATATGTTTTATTTTTTATAATAATTTTATATAAAATTTAAAGGATTATTGTTTAATTATAATTAATTACATTTAAAAAGTTGCAGTATTTACAAACATTTTAAAGTATAAGTTAATTTTATTCAAAATAATTATTGAGAGAAGTTTGATTAAATACTGGCTGATTTGTATAAACAATTTGTACAAACTTACTTTGTAAATAAATTATTATCACCCTCACTAATTATCACCCTCACTAATAGCGTTTATAATAAATAACATATTTATTTGTCAATATATAATATAAAATTATTTTTGAGTTAGTTATGTAAATATTATAATCATGAATAAATCAACCAGTATGAATTTATTTTTATCATTATAAAATAAAAAGCATGATAATGTATATAAAAAACATTCACCCGAATGTCATTGTAATAAAATTATTGCAGCTAAATATAAGCAATCTAGATGACTAATAATAAGATAATTTATAATAATAAAATACAATAAAACAGGTATATTATATAATATTTAATGCCAAAAATCAGACTATAATATAATGATAGTACTGTATTACCCATGAAAACAATTATGAGTAATTACATAAAATATAATGTATATGTACACTTTTACTTGCTACCCCACCGGTATATAATAAATGGAAATGCAATATTATTGTTTAAATTATAATTTACCAAATAACAAAACAAAAATATCTAAAGTAGTACCTTTAGTAGTATAATCATGAGTATATTATTAACATGTTACAGCGAATTATTATTATTTACCATATGCGGATTTTTCTATTTGTATATGGGCTCAACTGTGGACAAAAACAATAATATATTTGACCATTATGCAACAATGACAAATGGTACAGACGGGCAAAATACGTTTAACTATACAAGATCAATTAACAACAATGGCAACCTAACTGTATTAATGACAGATATTGTAATGAATCTGGTTAAATCAATGCAAATCAATATTTAAGCAAAATGTATTAGTATCCTTATTGTTTGTATATATTTTAATAATAAGTACAAAATTATTTTACAATGTAAATTTTTAAATTTTATTATTATTTTATATAACACATGTAAAGTTGTTTAAGTTTTTTTTGTAAATCTATTAAATTTATTAAAAACAAAAATTATTACTATTTATTGTTATTTTCATCCACGTTTGCATGGATTAACTTCTTATAAGGTGATTTAAACAAATATGTATTAACAAAAAAGTTTACAAACATTACTATAAATAGCAAATACAGTGTAACCCCGGCTTTGGCCACATGTAGTGACACATCGCACGGCTGGCCATTGAGTTTCCTATTCATTGCCACATAATTAATATAAAATCCGGCAAACATTTGGACGATCTGTAGGCTTGTTATGCATACGCTTAGGCGCCGGGATAGGCGCCAACCACTGGCCATACACGCATAGTATGTATACATTAATGAATGCACACCATAATTCATTGTGACCATGTAGTTACTAGTGGCCGGGTATTCACCTGTGCTGTACCAGCAGTATACTAAAGTTAGACAATGATGAATCCAATGTAGGTGAATTAATTTGCGCTCGCGTAGCAAAATAAACATGGTATCAACAAGCTCGGGCACTTTTGACCAGACAAATAAATAGCACCACCAAAGTACCCTGATGTCTCGGTAGAAATCAGCCTGACATACTGTGGCCGTAAATCCTTTGGTAGAGTACAAGTGCCATAGATATGGTGCCCACCGTATGAAACCTATAATGGAAAATACAGCCAGAGTTGCGTTCCATAGGATTAACATTGACCGTAGTTTGTATGGCCGGCCGCGTTGTTGTATCCATAGGTTTAACGTTGGTATTAGTAGCAGATATGCCATCGAAATGTATATTGAATAATACCATTTATTTATCATAAATTCTTGTAAGTAATCCATGCTAACTGTATTGAACACCCAGTGCTCCCATTCGTTCAGCACCGGTATGTATGTGACAGCCGAGTATTGCGGCCAAAATGTTGACCATTTGCTATTTATTGTGGTATTATTATTTGTAATATTATTGTAGTAGTTGTAGCGAATATCCATGGTTATTTATTATTATTATTATTTTAAGTAATTTATTAATTTTTAATACTTGATAATATGATTTTACTATTAATGAATTAAGTAATAATTCAATTTTGACAACAATTATTATTTAATAGTTATGGAAAACATATTATAAAACTAAATTGTCGTTGCACTTGATACAATAATAGATTCTAAATTCTTTATATATCTTACTAACTATAAAAATAATGAGAATTGATTTTACATTTATAAAGTCACCAAAAATGCTCTTCAATTAATCCATATGTATTAATTCAATATTAACTAAATAACTGGCCATAACCTGTTTGCCAATCATGGTAACTAAAATAAGTACAACTGTAATGTCGTTGGATAAATTATATACCGTGATGATCTTTTATATTACTTTACTACCCTTGACTGTCTGATCATACATTGGATGGTGTTTGATTATGATGATTAAATTATACGTCAATAGATTTAATAAAACATTAAGTCTTATACATTAATTTACTAATTAAAATAATATATTGGTTAAAGTATGTAAATATCACAAAACTACTTAATTTAGTATTTTAGTAAAGTTAAAATATATCTGCATTATTAAGTGATCATGACAAAATTGGTTTTAAATTATTTTACAACAAAATTGAAATAAAATTATTGTAAATTATAATTCTCTCTCTCTCTCTCTCTCTCTCCTTGAATTAATTTGACTTATTTTGACTCAAAAACTAATTTTTTAGTTAATAAAATGATAAAACATTTGCATATATTTTACAGCAATATATTTATATAGCAACCTATTAATAACATTTCAATGCTAGTTATAATTTGATCCAATACTGGTTGTAATAAAATTAAAACGTTAAAATTCTTATAATAATTATATATAAAATTAATTTAAATCTAAAATCATATACTTTAATTAATCTATAACTTTAAATAAACTGAATCAGCACAATCATTTTTAATTCACTAATTTCTGTTCATAATAAATAGATTCACTGTAAGTAAATTGCATGTAAACTATATAAACAATAATTAATCACGTTTGACTCTAGTGGGCTTAACAGATAGTGGTTTAAGCAAGTAGGATTTAACAAAAAAGTTCATAAACAACACCAGAAACAGGGCATACAGTGTAACCCCGGTTTTGGCCACATGTAGTGACAGATCGCACGGCTGACCATTAAGTTTCCTATTCATCGCCACATAATTAATGTAAAATCCGGCCATCATTTGGACGACTTGTAGGCTTGTAATGCATACGCTTAGGCGCCGGGATAGCCGCCAACCACAGGCCATACACGCATAGTATGTATACATTAGTGAATGTACGCCATAATTCATCGTGATCATCCACTGGGTAGTGGCCGGTTGGTCACCAATGCTGTACCAACTGTATACCAGGGTTAGGCAATGGTGTATCCAGTGTAGGTTAATTAGCTTCGAGCCGCGCAGCACAATAAACATGGTGTCAATGAGTTCGGGTACTTTTGACAAAACAAATAAGTAGTACCATAATAGTACCCTGATGTCTGGGTAGTAATCAGACTGGCATATAGTGGCCATAAAGCCTTTGGTGCAATACAAGTGCCAGAACTGTGGGGCACATCTCGTAAAGCCTATGATAGAAAATACAGCTAAAATACTGTTCCATAGGATTAATATTGATCGTAGTGTGTATGGCCGCCCGCGTTGTTGTACCCATAGGCTTAACGTTGGTATTAACAGCAGATATAGCACTGCTATGTATATTGAGTAATGCCACTTATTTACCCAAAATTCATGAATGTAATCCATGTCCACGTTGTTGAGCACCCAATGTTCCCATTCTGTCAGCACCGGTATGTATGGAAAGCCAGGGTATTGAGACCAGTCTGTGAGCCATTTATCGTGTATTTTGGACACATTATTGCTGATAATATTGCAGTGATTATAGCGAATGTCCTTGTTCATTATTATTTTTATTAATTTTAGATTATTTAATATTTAAACTAATATAAAATAAATGCTCGAGTGTAAAAAGACTAAATTAAATAAAACGTGTTTAACAATAACACATACATGTATGTTTATCATAAGTGATAACAAGAACAATTTATTGTATTTGTATTTTAACATCCATTTCAAGAACAATATGTAATTTCTGATGGAATAATAACAAAAACGATGATTCACTATATTTTGATAAAAATGTAATAAAAATTAATGTGTTATAAACTAAATACAATTAATTAATAATTAATATTGTTTCGGAATTAATAATAATTTGTTTAATTTTTAATAATTTTATTTAAAAGTTTTTCGATGTTCAAAACAATCCAGTGAATTATTTTAAATAACATACTTTAAATATATATCATTTATCATAATTTATTTTACAGTCATTATTATAGTCACTAATTATTTTATAATAACTTTATTTAAAAATGTTGCCTATTAAATACAACCAATACATTAAATGACATAATTATACATTTAGTATTTATTATAATTAAAACTTTCAGTTAGTATTATGTATACTAAAACTAAATTAACACATTTAACTATTGCTTCTCTCTCTCTCTCTCTCTCTCTCTTGAATTAATTTGACTTATTTTGACTCAAAACTAATTTTTTAGTTAATAAAATGATAAAACATTTGCATATATTTTACAGCAATATATTTATATAGCAACCTAT